TTGCCGCCTGCCTAAAAAACTAGAAGGTCCGTTCGTTGCATTAAAAACATTAGATATCAAAGGAAAGTGCTTGACCATTAGATGTGCAATAGGGATGTTTTAATAGGGTTGTCATCTTTTTCTCCAAATGCGTATATGCATGTACACATTCAGCGCATAGCGAAGCCTCGCGCATACGAGGCCGCCTAGTATAATATACAGTGTATAATGCCGCAGCTGTTATGACGCTTTCCAGCATCAGATTGAAAATGTCGCTCGAGAGTGAATCGCCTCGTTTAAAACCTCGTTTGGTCTCGAACGGCGCGACTAGGTCCTTCCCAAATTGGACGGAGCCGAATTGTGCTCAACGTCATTCTACACGGCCAAATTTAGACATGGCGTCGTTCAGGCAGCTTGTCTTCGTGCTATCGTAAGCAGCTTTATAATCGACAAAAGATGGTTTGTGTCGTGTGAAAATCTGGAAAATGATGACTTACTAGGCCTGAAGCCACACTGATCGTCGACAGGACCTTGTTTGCATTGGACATAGTACGCTGAGATTCCAGTATTCGAGCACGTTTTCATCAGACCGAATTATGCTTAGTTGCATGTACCAGCCTGGCCAAATCAAGCAGTTTAAAAACATACAGTTATACCAGACAAATGATCAATGTGCCTTTATATTTATGCAATTAAAAAGCAATAATAGTGACTCCCACTTGCAGCGTATGCCGTGACATTCCAAGCCGGTTAAGTGAGACGAGATGAATTCAAACTAGGGTTTAAACTTCTTCTCCACTACCAACTGTAGCTAAAAATTTAAGGCAGCAATAGAAAACGACAAAAAAATTAAAAAAATTCATTAATTAGGCAAAAGTATTCTTGGTTTTCAAAATTTTCCCATGTTAGAATGTAGTAGCCATCTGCCATAGTTATTGCTCGCAAAATTTAAATTTTCATATACGGCACTGAAAGTTCCCACCACAAATATGGTTCAATATTCGAAATGCATTTTATTCTTTTATTCCTCACTGCAGCGTGGAATACTTGAAACGACAATTTCTTATAGTTTTCTCATTCGGGAGACCTCTCTTTTTTAAGTGCACTCCTTTTTCTGCAACGTGTATCATACAATTTAATCGTGAGAATTCTATGAACCTTACCTGGTGACTTATGGCACTACAAAAGATCGCGCTTTGCACTTGTCTACAGCACCAATATAACACCGCAGCCGTTAGCTGGTCATCCCTTACTTACCACTGCTGCTTCCCTTTTCTTCCTTCGTAATAGCCTTGCGAGCTATCATTTAGATCAATTGCAGCGCTTAGAATTTAACATTTGACCCTTCTTGCGGTGTTCTCAAATCGCGCAACATTTGCACAAACACAACCCCCAAAAATTTAAACAATAACAATGGTCAATAGTGTGAAGTTTGTATTCGTCAGAAGCGTACCTTATCCAAAAGGCAACACCTGTGCCTGCAGCGCTGCTATACCACAAAAGCCCAAGGTGCTATATGACTCTTTGAGCCGCAATCACTCCAGCGGAACATTGAGTTGTTGGTGGTGGTTTGGATTGACTTTGTGACTTGCCTTTGTACCAAAGCAAGTGTTCGATGTTTCGTCGCATGCAACAATCTGCGAAAGTCGAACAGTTCATCCACCAGACAGAGTTAAAGTGGTGAAGACATGCTGCTTGGGTTGAGCTCGGTCGACTTGCCTTAATATGAGCCGCTGAGTCAGTTCTTGAAGGGATGTTTCCCCACAGGACGTCTAGAGCAATTCACCTGTGCAGCTTTTTCCATTTGCAACCTGTGCATCCGTGTGATCATAAAAACGGAGAATAAACCAGAATATCCTGCAATTCCAACCTGGTCGAGTCCTCTAAACTGACTAACTGCTAGCATTAACTTGTTCACCTCGCTTTACGATGAGGTTTTGAACAGCGCACACGTCATTTGATTGAATTGTGTACATTTTAACAACAATTTCAGATGTTAAGATAGCCAGTAGGTCCCTTTGGGATCAAGTAGGGCAGCACCAGCGCGCCGACCTATACACCACAAATGTGTTGCGTGCGTGGCGCTCACTGAGCCCGTGTGTTAGTGTGTGTGCTATATTGGTCAACATTCAGCATTCTATATTCTATTTTATTATTAATATTTTTTACATTTTTTTTACAGACGGTCAAGTGTCAGCACACTTGCTTTCATTTGTACCCACAATATATTAACATACATACATACCTAGGCACGTAGTACATGCGGTGAAGGTGAGTTGAGTGGATTGCTGCTCTGGGGTTGTTTATTCGGGCCAATTATCTATTCACTTTTGACTTAAATGAACTACTGGCCATTATAGTTGTTGCTATTTTTGCTGCCGCTTTTGTTGTGTGCCATATGAGTGCACACGATTCACCATTTACATACTTGTATTCTATATTCCATTCCTGTGTACTGTACTGTTTCTGCTACAAATGCTCGCATTCACTTTCGTCGCAGAGCGCGAGTCCTGTTGTGAGTCCTTCCGGCCCGTCCGCGTTTTTGGGTAAAGAGTCGAGTGCGCGGCTTTAAATGGCACACTTGTTCTTCAACGCGTCTAGTGAGCGGTTGCGTGCATCCTGAGGAAATGAAAAATCATCAAATTTAAAAAGTGAAAAAGCTTGTTTTCTTAAAAAAATAGTTTTTTCGAAAAGCAATCGTGAAGAATTTTAATAGAATGTTTTGGATGTAAGATACGTTTTTATATTCGAAAAGTGAAATTTTTGTGGGTATATATGTGTTTTCATAAAAGGTGAAAAGCAGTAAGCACATTCTATAAAGCGGTGAAAAAGATTGTTTAAGATATTTTTAGTCAATTTTATTGCTTGAATTTCATATACATACCTATTAATGCACATTTTCTTGAATTTAGTTAAAATTATGGTATGCTATGTAAAATTAAAATACTTAAATGTTTCACCCATTACATTCACCCATTTCGGCCATAAGAATTATTTTGTCTTTATTTTGTTAATAGTTTTCTTTTACTTTTTAATTTCTTAACTTTCGTCCATATATATAACTATTTTTCTTTATTTGCTTTTATAAAAACCGTTGTATTTTTTCCTTTTAAAAGGGGGTTTCGTTTAAAATAAAAAAATATACATATACATTCGTACTGAATTCATAATTCTGTATTTTTGCTTATGGCTAAGATCAAAATTATACAAAGTGTTTTTGTTGAAAATTCTTAAGTTGTTGCATATTTCTTAATAAATAATCAATCTTAAACGGAAAATAGTTGCATATTTTTCTTGCCTTAGCAAAATATTTTGTTTATTAAAAGACTAACACATGCTTACATAAAATGCAATTTAACAAAAAATTTTATGAATATACATATTTATACACGTATTATACACGTACTTTATTGTATTCTATTCTATTTCAGTATTTCATGTTTCAATATTTTATTTAATTTTTTTATGTTTTTTATTTCATTTAATTAAATTTATTTCACTTAATTTTATTTTATTTTATTTTATTTTATTTTATTTTATTTTATTTTAT